CAGCTTTTGCTGATAAGCTCAATGAGGTAAGGAAGAAAAAAAAAAAAAAGAAAATAAAATAAATTTAAACAAAAACTCAAAAGAAAAAATTCAAGGTTTTAAATTGGGTTTTAAAAAAAAAAAAAAAAAAAAAGTTCACCAGTTCTTCTAATATTGAAGAAAAGTAATGGCTTTTTTTAATGATGGTTCTCTTTGTACAGTGCTGAAAGCCTACATGGCACTTTACACTAGGTGAGCTCTGCCAAATAAATCTTACAGGGTAGGCAACTTAATCTAAATTCATGGGCAGGTTCAATGTAGAATTGGGTACAGTAGTGACTGTCTTGCAACTGAGTGTTCTTGCATTTTGACTGATAGCCTACTAATCCTGAAGAAATAGATGAAACTCATCAGAACAGTACTTCCAGACCCTATTGGCTAAGGGAGCCAGAACTTGACTGTCATGCATGTTAAGAAGCCACCTGTTTGCAAAATGCTTATTTTATGGTATTTTGTCAGGGGTGTCAATCTAAAATTAAAGGGCTGAGGGCAAAGTATGCATTTATAGTTGGTGTCATGAATCAATATCCATATGTAGAATTTGAGTAAAATTTTTCAAAAGCATCTTAAGTCCCATTTTCAGCAGTGACTTGGATGCTTGGGGAGCATAAGCCTCTGACTTTCAAACTTCGCTGCTTTTTAGTTGGTGTGGGGGTTTTTTTAGAAATAACTAAACTAGGCGTTTAGTCTGGAAGTTAGAGACCTCGTTGACTCATTCTTCATATTTTGGGGGCATGCCATTTTATTTCTATACTCTTACATGTGTTCCTTGGTTCTTTTCTGCAAAGGCCTTCTCTATGCTAGAAAAGGGTTGCTGGTATAACTATAGTTTCTTTCTAGTCTTGGCCTAAGTAAACTCATACTGTACACCTGAGTTATACTGGCATAGGAATGCTTTTGTTGATGTAGCTTATTTCAGTTGGGTAACCTGGTATAAGCTCTACTAGTAAAAACGTCTTTGCCAGAATAAGCTACGTCTGCCCTAGGATTGTTTGCAGGTATAGCTGTACCGGTAAACCTTTTCCAGTGTACACAAGGCCTTATCAGAAAAATGCTTGCCTTGTGGCTTGTATTGGGTCCCTGAGTGAAATAAGTTATACTGACAGAAACTCATCTGTGCTGGTAAAACTGCATTTATGGATGTATTAAGTGTAGACCAGGCTTAAGCTTTAAACATGGCAACTTCAATGGCAATTACTGTTCTTGGCTGCCCCTCTTCACCTTCAGACCTGATAAGTTACAGTTTAAGGAGACGATGCAGTTTTGAACAATCAGATCAGCAGTTGATCTTTCTCTTCCTTACGTTTTAGTCTGGATTTTAAAGTTCCTTCTTATTTCAGGAGAAAGTTGCCCAAGTTTTAGCTTTGAAAAATGATTCAATCAACCACTTCGAGTCAATGATTGAACAGGAAAAGAAGGAGCAATGGAGGGTTGAAGGCCGCAATTATCTCTTTGATGCCAAGCGGGTACGTTATTACAACTATAACTTTACAAATACCTTTTTACATAGTTACGTAGCCCTCATAACCACAGACCCTGAGTGTCTCTATGTACTTAACAAGCAGCAAACGTTGACTATGTGTACATTAGGTGTGGCAGGTCACATAGACAACTAAGTTGTATGACATTTCCCATTATAAGACCCTATTTTCAGTTGCATGTAACTTTACCAGAATTATTCAGGCTTTCATTTTTCCATCTTGGGTATCTGCCCCAGGCTTTTTTCTTTTTTTAATCTTTCTTGAAAATGGTTCATTTCTGGAAAATGAAGCTAGGGAAAAATACATTGTTAAAACATTCTGGCGACCTTTCATTTGAGAAGTTCTAGAACCTGCAAGTTATGGAGCAGAGACTTGAAATTTGGCAGTGGGAGGCCTCTGTGTTTATGGATGTTCCTTTTGCAGTCCATGTGAACAGTCCCAAATTTGGCCAAATTGTAATCCTTTGAAAGATCACAGTTCACACATGATCAATAGAGATTCCTTCGAGTTTAGCTGCTAAATTTCTCGAAGACTTCATCCATGCTTCAGGATAGGGCTAAGCAGGACTTGCCTGGCAATTGCAGCTTTGGGCTGCTGTGGAACTGTTTGGTCTGAGCACCTGAACTGAGAGCAGGGAGACTATCTTGTGCTGTCCTGGGCCCAGGCAGCATGGAGGAGGAAGCTGCCTAATTTGAATGAAGAAGGGACAAGAGCCAGACCTGCATGGGTGTAGATTGGGATTGTGGAAGAAAATAAGTCCTTACTCTGTGTTTGTTAGCAACAAGTCAGAGACAGTTTATTACGAGCAATTGCAAGGGAAGACTTCAGTTGGACAGGGGGTCCCCCCTGACCTTAGGCAGATCTTCCCCCTACAAGCAATATAAGACAAGTATTTATACCTTCCTGTTACATACATCAACGGCTAATGGTTATCCTTTGTTTATACAAACTCCCTCCAGACTTTACCTTATCTTAAGGTTTCTGCTTCAATCAGCATTCCATCCTTATTAACTAAAAGCGAGACGAGAAACAGCATTTCTTACAACTCTCGCGTGGTTAGGGTTAGGGCTACCTTTCACTTTATCCTTAAATTGACTAAAACATTTACCCTGCTTTTAATTCTGCTTCCACAGGATGGAGTGTTGGTTGGGTAAGAGGGGGAGTGGTGACAGATCAGGTGAGGTGCTTGAGCACAGAGGGGCGACTAGGACAAGAAGCTGGGGGGAATGGGATACTGAAATGGGATGAGGAACATACGGAAGGAGAGAGGGATGAGGGGCTGAGGGCCAGGGAATGAACTGGAACTGTCTGGACAAGGAGAATGGGCTAAGAAGCCTGAAGAGTGGGGAATGGGACGAAGATTCTGGGGGGTAAAGAAGAGAGACGAGTGGGACAGGGATGGGTTAGGAGGTGTCGCAGAGGGGCAGGGAACGGTCTGTCATCTCCTTTCCAAATATTTGTGAAACCCACTGGCAAAGTGCTTCATCCTCCTCTAGTCCTGGTCCACCTAAAGAGTGCCACCTACTGCTGTAGCTGCCACTCCCGAAGCTCCAGTGGCAGAGGTCTGTATTGTGGATCTAAAGGTTCCAACCCCGCTGATAACCCATGTGGGTGTTGATGTGACTTTTTTCCAGTTTTTTAAAGCTAGAAAATTACACGGTCTATTTTAAAAGAACATTATAGTGAGAGCTCCTGTGTAGAGCTGGATTATACTAGATTTTTGCCATTTATTTTGAGTATAAAGACATTCTCAGTTGAAAAGCCTAAAAATGCTGCCCATTTTTAAAAATACCATATCCACTTAACTAATACTACTGATATTTAAATAGTGTGACTCTCGCTTTTGACAGGCTCTATAGTCTTGGCATATAATATAGAGTTGGGATTCTAGGGTTCAGTTCCTGTCTCTGAGACCTTGGCAAGTCATTTAACTTCTCTGTGCCTCCATCTGCGAATGAACACACAGCCAATTTTTGTAAAATACTCTAGGTTCCTTTGAAAAGCAACATGTGAGTGTAGTGGTCGAGGGACATCTACCTAGGACACATCACTGGACATTGGCAATGCCAGGGAGGGATAAGCTGGAGTGCCAATGAGAAGCGTGGTCGGGAAAGTAACTTAAATACTTTCCGGATGGATTGTATTTTCTAATGGACAACCTACCCTAAATTCTCAACTGCTGAGGGATAATTTTCGCTTGTTGATATATTTGCTTTCCACAACCAACTCTGTGTATAACTTTTCAGGATTGATGTATCTGAATACTAGGATGCTAATATCTAAACTGTATTATTAAATGTATTCATCTAAATTTGGATTATTGCTGATGTATCTTACGACTTTTAAAACACACTTTGTATCGGTGGATAATCTAAACACTATACCCAGATGTACAGACACACTTTTCTTAACCTGTGTATTATATAATTTTTTTAACATTAGCTTTAATAAAAATTTTAAATCTGAAATATAAGATGGTCAGAAAAGTCAGAATGGAAAACTGAAGTGCATCTTTTCTCTAACTAGAATAACGTTGCTATGCTGCTAGAGACTAACTACCGAGAAAGGCTGCTCACCGTATACAATGAAGTGAAGAAGCGGCTAGACTATCAAATTGCTGTACAGCAACTGGCACGTCGTAAGGAACAAGATCACATGATCAACTGGATAGAGAAAAACGTCGTCCAGAGCATCACTCCTCAACAGGTACTTTAAGCTTCTGAGCTTCTAGCAGTTCACTGTGCCTCCCGTGTCCTAATACAGAATACCGTTTTCCTCAGCTGCCTGACGTCTTTGACCAAACATGACTGGTACTTCTTTGTCTAACTCTTCTCTGGCTGGCTTCCAGAGCACCCAAGGCACATTCCTACTTTTTTTTAGCAAAACCAATGGGATCTGATTTTCTCTTTTTCCCCCCCCCCCCCCCCCCCCCCCCCTCCAAAATGCTGAGCACTT